GCCTTCCCTGACACCATTCTTTTCACGATGCTCACAATATCAGTGCAGAAAACCATCGATCTTCTTGAGATTTTAACCCAGATGATTGATCAAGTGATCACGGAGATGTAGAACTACTCTTTCGTACTATTACCAGATGAGCAGATTGCTAATCATAGAGAAATTTGAATAATTTATGAAATATTGAACGATTTACATATTACGACAAAAACATCAATCATCCCAACCGAACCAAATGCTGAATAATTAGCTGGATAATGTGATCTTGAATCCCTTTCCGTCTCATTTTCATACTGATATTGTGCCGTTGAGCGGCTTGTTCATTACTGGTAAGCGATAAACAAGTTCAATTTTGATTTAATAGTGACATGGCACTCGTGACATTGCTGTTCATGCAGTGGACACTTCCACCTAACAGGATAGAGATCTGTTAGCATTTCATTTGAAAGTTATGTAAACATGAAGGGTGCGTTCGAAGAGTTTATCATGCAACACGATTTCATATGAGGAAGTTATGTTGTGGAAGCTCTCGTCACACTGCATTATCAATCATCAACGAACTGTTAATGGTGATTAATGTAGCGACGATGTACATGTGAAAGAGGAAGCACGCAGCTGTGATAATTGCTATCCATAAGCATTATTGCTATCAAAACACAATGATCAAAACAACTGCGCGAGAACAAAACAGCAAACGAAAACAAAATAATCTGCTCGAATCGTAGCGCATAAAGTTGCGGGTGTATCCTTTGAAGGGTTCATTCAGCATCTTCGAACGGCTTGGATATATTAATCCTATGAAACATTACGTGACTGAAAACAATTGATCGCTGCCATACCCGAATGCGCTGCCGGATCAAAATCAAAATTCGCCTAGCGAATTTTCTGCAATAAATTATTTTCTCTCTCAAGAAATCCTGCAACATATATGATGACGTTACTAATAACATCATGTAGGCGAAAGCATTCAGATATTAAATTCAAGCTACAGACCGGAACTGGATTGTGGTTAATTGACTTGAACTGTTCCAAAGATCAAAACGAAACTGATTCAAATGAAATTCCCATCAACGGCTATTGCTCACACATTGCAATTCCGCTTAAATGCAAACCATTAATTGAAAGGATAATATAGCGAAATCGATTCCAACTTCAAAAACACATTGATAATCTGCCTGAAACACAGTGAAATGGAAATTTATGAGGCCTTCTCTCAATGATCACTGCAAGATTTCGATTTCCAACACGCTATTGTTATCGTGAAGCCATAGAAGCTTACAATTAGAATTTGTGCGAATTGAATCGCTCAAGTACAAGTACAAAATATTTAATCATTCAATCTATTCTTCACTCCTGGCATGCCTTCATCACCGTATAATTGTCCGATACTACAAAACGAATTGCAGAAAACGTTAATTCGAAAACGTTTACAAAAGTTTCTATCATCAGTTTTACCGACTTGTTTTCGGTTTTCCAACGACCAGTCGAGTCATTTATAGGGATTCATTCTAGATACTGCAAATATTGTTTTGTGCATATTTGCGGATTAATGTCGCAGACGGCAATTTAATTAATTTGTTATCGTTGTCAATGAGTAATCATCATCCTTCGACATCAATGGCCAATTTCGTTGCGATAATATAATTTCTTTTTTTTTGCTCAATACGTAATCAACACAGATCTCGTATTTGCCTAGCAAATCATAAATCCAATTCATTGTTGTTTGAGTCGTAAGTGAAAAGCAGAAATCACACTGCGCTGCAATTTCAGACGTTCTTCAGCCCTGGTAGCGCATAATTAAAAAGCATGCGTGACAAATTACCGAAATGTAACAGCGGTGGCGAACGGGGAACAATCGCTTTATGTCAAGATGAACTCGAAGACGGTATACTGGACATATTGGAGGGCATTGAATATGGCCTAGCAGTTTCTGAACAAATAGATGAAAAGCAATTAGTTAAGGTATGAACAACTTCCTAGACAAACACGGAATTTGCCTTAGAGTGACTGAAGTGAAGCAATTGCATTTTCAAAACGGTTTCTCCGTTCAGCTTCTAATGAACATCCTGAACTGATTCGATTTTCTTCCCGATAATCTTTGAATCATCAATAAAGTTCTGAAGGCCAATAAACCGATTCATGTCGCAGAAACAGAATCATCCTTCGCTTAATTAATCGCTCAGAAGAATCAGAAATTCAATTTCTAGCCATCGGATATTCTCATCAACTGATGTCATGGACAGTAGGTTCATTAGATCAGCATAGATGAAGCTATTATATTTCGGTAACATTAGTTAATAAAGCATTTCAACTGATCGATCTTCACAGATCACTATTCAGATCAACATTTCAGATTCTGCATCGAGCTGCAGACCTGTTCTCGAAGGATTCTATTCTTCTCGAGATTCCACTCACTTCGAGTTTGATTATTGTCGGAAATTTAGACGGACAACTAAGTGACCTATTGGTCGTTCTGAGAACAAATGGCTTACCACCTAAGACAGACTATCTATTTCTTGGTAATAAATCTTCAGTCATTTCTGGTGTAGATGAAATGAACTGGAACTCAAAGTTATCAATTAAACATCAACAATAACGATAATAGTAATGGTCGCGTTGATTGCGGCAGCATTTATCAGACAAATACTATTGAATAAACCTTTGGAATATCATTAAGATAACGTCGATTTTGGAGTAAATTCGATTGTCAAAGATGGAATATCGCTTCAGGATTCTCTTTTGGACATTATTACTAACTCACTGAGAACTAGTGATCTTCGAAAAATCTTTTTTTGTTGAATCAAAACGTCAATTTGTAGGTGGATATCTCGATCGTGAAAATCAGTCTCGTTATCAAATTGAGATTCTCTTACTTTTGTTGCTGATGAAATTACGTTGGCCATCACACATATACTTGCTAAGAGGATGTCAAGAGATTTTCGATTGCAATTATGAATGTGGATTCATAAAATTGGTACGATGAAGCTTTGTAGTATAATAGTTAACTTTAAAAGACAACTTAACTTTTGTAATGTTCACTTATATCGCAATGAATTCTGGGAAATTCGATGAAGATCCAACGGACACGAAATCCAATAGATTGGGCTGAACTGACTGGGTCTAAACTTAACAAGTGAAGCATCACATTGACTAAAGGCGCTCATTCCGATCTGATAATATGATTGTTTAACATCATCACTTGACAATATCCACAGCTGTCACAAGAGCTAGAAACGCATTATTCAAGACCATCTTCTCTTAAGTCTTTGATAAATCCCAAAATCACGCTACGGTCACTGAACAATAACGTTGTTTCAGTGCAACGATACCTATGGAAACAATAGCACTTATTCGTTATTCAGTGAGACTTTTGATGTTATGCCTATTGCTGCAATTATTGCTGGTATGTGCTGACTTTGCATTACTCTACAGATCAATTTGTTGTCATTCACGCAATTATTTCTCCACAAATGTTACCCTGCAAATGATGAAGTTCACAAATTTAGCTCCATCTTTTCATTTAGATTCCTTGCTATGTTGCCATGGTGGCTTATCACAGTGGATGACATCTCGTGATAATATACGACAAATCCCACGACCGACCTATCGCGATCGTATGAAAATGCTCGACAGATGTCTAATGACCGATATTCTTTGGTCCACACCGTCCAAATTTCAGCGATTGTACGCGAATTTTGTCTCTAATTTAAAGTTTATTGCCATCAAACAGAAATACAGCGAATAATCATGCCCATACAACTGCTTCCATAAAAATTTTCGACTGCCTAATCACCCAACTTAAAATTACCAACTGATTCACTAAATATCAACTGTTTCCACTTAGAACTTGGAG